ATATATGGCTGTTCATTTACTGATTTAGAATCAGATGGGTAACTTTAAAGATGGTCTCGATATTAGATTTTGAAGAACCAACAGTTCTATTGGTGATCCATGCAAAAGAAACTGGTCGTTTTGGTTTTGATTAGCTGATCGAGTGCGGAGGGTGCTACGCTCCTCTTCATTTGTTCATGTTAATGACCACAAAGTTCAAACACTGCTTGCTACTTGCGCACTTGTCCTTTTCTATTACTTTGACTAGCGCCCTGCAAAGAAATGATATTTACCCAAAGCCGGTTTCCTTTATCGAGCAACCAAATATTCAACAGCCGCTTTTCTCGATCCTTAATCAAAGTATATAATTTTGTAATCAAATACTGTTTAAGCATAAATTTAGTGAATTACTTTGACAAAACAGTGTCAAATGACCTTTTTTGATTGTAAGGTATCTCCGAAAAAATATATATACCAATTAACAATGGTTATTTATAAGAGGTTACGGGTAAACATGCTTAACATTCTTCATTTGCTTGGTACAGACTAGTGTGCAAATAAATATTTTAAAGTACATCCAACCAATGTGACAACCCTTCTGAGACTCAGTAATAACCTGGAATTTCATGACATTACTGGAAACAATTAAGAAGCACATAAAGTTGAGTTATAAGGACTTAGGAATTAGTAATTTCTAAGAAGAGGCGATAGACTATCAAGTATTCTGGTGGGATGGATAGATCATTTCATGTATAATTAAAGATTTCATGTTTAGGACTCTTGAAAATGAATTTTTTTTATAAAGAACTTATATCTTTAACAGTCTTACGCTGTACAAATTAAAATTAGTCGAGACCCCATTACGAATACTCGGAATACCCGATGGTAAACAACCAACTAGGTGCATTGCATATTCCAACCGCAGTTTTTTTTTTTCAATTGTCATTGGTCATTTCCGCTGGTTTTGATGGAAACTTTAGTTGTCTCCTGAGTTGGATAAGGATATAAGAAATCAGTGAAAGTGCCTAAACCAATTGTTTCTCTCCATTTTTCCCAATAAAAAAAATACCATCAGCTTTTCAAGAATTCAATTAGGAATATTAATTTATGTATGTACATTCTACAACCATTTGTCCACCATGCACGTACATTTAAACGTCCGGCAATAATAATACCTCGATTCCAAGCAAATTAATTAGGATTAGTGATAAACTTTTATTGCTAATTAATATCTATCAATTTAATCTCAACCGTCTAATGTTGTACCTATCAAAAATATACTTGGACGAAAATGAAAAAGCCTTTCCAACATTACAAGTTCTCTATATATTTCAAAGATGTACAAATTTATGAGAGGGAGCCGTAAAATTGTCTCAATGTAATCTATAAGTCACAAATTCGAGACGTAGAAGTAGTCACTAATGCTTGTATTATGTTAAGATACCTTGTGCACTGGGCTATCCGATGTTAAACATACTAACATGAGTAAATATTAATCTCAACTAATATAAAGTTTGTCAATAATGTAGTGCAGCAAAATTATCGTCTTGTGACAATTGGATTGTGGGATTTCCCATGGGCCCTTAATTTTCACTCTTTTTACTAACTTTTTTTTATCTGTGGGCGCTTATGGACTTTTATGTACCCAAATATTCCCCATGTTCCTTTCAGTTATAAACCATTTTATTTTATAGTGAAATGGAGTTGAGGACACATAGTGGGAACTGAAATTTCATAAAAACCATCATTTTCTTTTTAGGCTTTTTCTGCTTCAGTTTTCAGTTCTAGTTGTTATATATTCATCTCTATATTTGCCTTTTTGTCTACTGATACAACAGTCTGCTTGTAGTAAATCACTTGAAATCTGTGATCTTTCTTTGAAGCTTTGCAAAAACCACAGTAAAATAGTTTCTAGGATTTCACACATTTCTTTTTCTGCCCTTTTTTTATCTAGTTGGTTTTTGTGGAGGTTGCTATTCTGAGTACTTTTGAGAAAACTCAGAAAAAAGTTTCCCTTTTCTTTTTTTATTTGTGGGAAGCTATTGGGCCAAAAGTAAGGAAGGTTCTTGCTACCAGAAAATCAGCTTTTCATCAGAAAAAGAAATAGGATTTATACCTATAAATATTTGGAAGGGTTGTTAGCTGCTGCTTCTTGGTATTCCAAAAGGATCAAAGCTATATACCTGACTGGATAATTTTTTTTTATAGTATCAGTATAATTCAGCATATTATAGTAGGTTAGTTATTTTTTTATCAGATTATCAATGCGTATTATTATTTTTCTGGCTTTGAGATTGTTGTTACTATCTTTTTCTGTCTTTTTCTGGCTCTATTTGTAGATATTACTTGTTTCTATTGTTTCTTTTCATTCTTCTTGAACTGATGATCTCTCGAAAACAACATTTTTATATTCTCATGTAAGGGTAAGGTTTGCGTATATATTCCCATTTCAAGACTCCCCACTTATGAGATTCTACTGGATTTTTGTTGTTGTATCAATTAATATTATAGCAATTTATCAATAATTATCCTATAAATAACTTGATTGTATTAATATTTTTACGTTAATGCATAAAACTTAAACTTATTCATTTTTAATTAAATTATCAATTAAAGCCTATTATAGTGATTTATCATTATTACCTTATGAATAATCTTTATGTATAGATATTTTTATATCAAATGCTAATAGAATTTAAACTCATTAAACAAAATTTAACCTTTTTCATATATGAAAAGATCTTTACACAAATAGCTGGTCATATTTACTATTTATTTTTTTAGACATACACAAAGATTATATATTATACACTATTATACACACATAATACATGAACTATGCATATATTATACCTTCACATACTATTTTTAGTTTAAGCGATTGGGTAGGCGGCTATTTGAGTTAATTCTTCTTCTTGAAATTTGAAAATTTTAACTGATGATAGTTTTCTGGTGGCTACAGAGCAATACAAAACAGAGGAAAAAACAATGGAAGATTTTCAAGAAGAAGATATATGGGCTATTAATGTGAAGGAAAGAAAAGGTTATTCAGGTTCAGTAATGAAGAGGAAATTAGCCACTGCTCCAAAGGTGATTCCAAGAGCTAAAATTACACCAATGCACCAGCAATCATCAACTCCAGTTAATATTCCTGATTGGTCAAAAATTTATAACAAGAAAAAATCAAGTAGATTCTTGAAAAATGGTTCATGGGATAGTGATGAAAATGTTGAAAATATTGTTGTAGAAGATGAAGATTGTGATTATGATTTTGGTGATGGAATGGTACCACCACATGAATATATAGCTAGAAGAGTTGCAAGAAGTCAAATTGCTCCTTTTTCTATGTGTGAAGGTGTTGGGAGGACACTTAAGGGAAGAGATCTTAGCAAATTGAGGAATGCCATTTTAACCAAAACTGGTTTCTTGGAATAAATCAAACAATATATTAGGTGTAACAGCGCAGGTCCGGTAGTGATATTGTCTGCTCTGGGCATAGGCATCCACGAGTTTAAAATGCGTCACTAGTGTTTAAGATTTATTAACTTATATATCCAGCATCTCTTTTGTGTTTTACCGATGTAAGACCCTTTCTAAAGTCTGGGATGTTACATTAGGTTCCATGCTTTTCTTATTTTTAAGAAAGTGATGTTTGGATTAGTTTGTTAGTATCTCAACTATATTACTGTGTACCTGCTCAAAGGTGGATTCCGAATTTTAACTTAATGAGTTCAAACTTGCATTGAGCTTATTAAACTATTAAAATTATGAGTTTAGATATAACATTCATATCTATATATAGAAAGCAAAATAGAAATTGTATACATGTGTTTACACTTTCATGAGGATTCTAAGACCCGATCATCCATCAAAGAAATATCCTAAATTGTATACGGTTTGTATATGATTGAAAAATAAATAAAATTCTAAATCAATTTTATTTATTACAAGAAGAGAAATGGGTGTATTGGTAATTAAAAAAATATATAAATAATTTGTATAGTCTAGTAACTTTAACATTCACGCCAATAATAATTTTTAAAAATAATGGAGCAAAAAGAACAACAAGTAATTTAAATAAAAAGAATTTGGGAGATTTTGGATTAATTATAACAGATCAATGGGGTATTTTTAAAAGTTTGCTGATTGTAGGGGTAAATTTGGTCCGATATAATGGTAGAGATAAATTTGGCCTGATAGTATAACGAAAGTTAAATGTAGACAATATATAAAATTAGAGGGGTATATTTGACCCTTTTCCCTAAAATTATTCGGGCAGTATTGATTATTAATGTTGTATGATTCTTCAATCTAAGTTAGTCACTGTTGAGATTTTGGATTTTACCTTCCTATACTATATATGAAACTTTATTACTCTTCCTTATCAAGTTTTAACTTAATTACATGGTCATATATAATTTACCAATTATATACAAATTAGTTTTAAATGAGTACCTCTTTATATTAGGAATTGAATAAGGAATATCACTTATTCCCCCTCCCCCTCTCTTCGTCTCTCTCTCCCTCCGTCTCTCTCTCTATGTCTCTCTTTTTCTGTTTTCCCCAATTTTTCTTCCTTTGATGTTCTCCGTTTTTTATGCTTTCTTGTTGTATAGAGTTTCAATGGAATTCATCAATAGATTTCAATCGTTTTACTATTGAGTTTTAACTTAGCAATTTTCTTTCATGTTGCACAATTGATGTTCGAATTAAAATTGTCAATCAATAAATTTTGAAGGTGTTTGGTTCTCTACCATTGACAGCCATTAAAAAGTTTCGAAGCTTTGAATTCGAATTTGAGTTTTCAAAAACCATTCTTTGTTTGGATTGGGTGTTGTTGCAAACAATTGAGGATATTCTTTGGAGTTTATATCTTAATTTTGAGGGTGTTTGGTGAAGATTAGACTTGATTTTGACCGAATTTCAGATTGAAACTCGAAGAAGAACACATGACATACAATATGCTTATGAAATTGTATTAAAGTTGTATGTAAATTATTTTTAAGTTGTAGTAATATATTTTTTTATTTGAATATTGTATAATGTATGAATCATTGTACATAAAGCTATTGATATGTATTAAAATTGTATTAAGAGAGAAAGTTTTGATTGAAATTTTTGAGAGTTAGAAGAACACATCACATATAAAATATATACAAATCATATACAAAATACATACAAAAAATATATTGTATAAAATTTGTATGAAAATTGTATTCAAGTTGTATGATGTTGAAGTTGTATTTAACTAGGTAAAAATGATGTATGAAAATTATAGATAAGTTGTATATATACTATATAATTATATTGTATAAAATTTGTTTTTAATTTATATGTTGTTGTAAATGTATCAAATTTGTATGAAATTTATTTAGAATAAAATAAAAATAACTTTTAAGTTGTATTATGTTATAGTTATTTTTAGTAAATAATGTTGGGAAAATAAAACAATAGCAAATTTTAAACCAAACAGTGTATGACGATGACAATTAAGGAAGTAAATTCTTGTAAAATTTATAAAGCCAAGTTTTGTTAAAAGCAATTAATTAAGGCGGAAGAATATTTTTGACAATTAGTATAAAAGCACTATCAGTATTGTCGTTTTCTTCATTTTCATAAATTGTGATCGCAATGAGGCAGCAGTGGTTGACGGTGACAATTACGGAAGCAAATTTAACTTTCTATTTTTACTAAATAAATGTTGGGAAAACAAAACAATAGGGGCATGACGGTGACAAGGAAGCAAATACTTATATAATTTTAGTAAATTAATTTCAAATATTGTATAGGAAAAAGAAAAAAAAAATTCCTGTGTTATATGATCTCTTTATTCTACCGAGATAGAGCCGTACTATATACTATTATTCCTTTTTCAATTTCTTTTTTGCTTGCCTTTTAATTATGGTCATATGTATGATAGTAAAAATTATCCTTTTCCTTTCTCTTTTTCTTTAGGACTAGTCTTAGTGTACGCGTTTTGCGCGTGTACCCTATATCAATGGATATGTATATTTTTAAAATAATATAAATATTATTAAATGAGCTAAATGAAAGGATTGGAATGTGAATTCATATCACCGACTCCAACTTGCTTGGGAATGAGGCGTAATTATTATTATTGTTATTAAACGTAAATATTATTAAATAATAAGTTTGAGTTATATAACAAAAATCGAAGAAAAAGGTGTAAGTTCCTAAAATAAAAATAACATACGATTTAGCTAGCTCAATGAATGACCAAATCCTCCATACAAGACTCCTCATATGTAATATGATTTCTGAGGACTTATGTAAAAATTTCATATAAAAATTAGTGATGTTTTTTGTGACCTAATTCTGAAAATAAGTAACATACACAAATACTTTTACTACGCGTCTTCAAAGAATTGTCAAATAACACGAATCGAAGAATTTGAGCCTTTTGGACTTCAAAAAATTTGTGATTGATGAGATTGGCCTATATCTCCTAGAAAAAAGTGATAAATGACAATACAAAATCTTAAAATTGACTATATATTAATGTTTGTCAAAAAATAACTTAATATATTTATATAGGGAATTGCCAATTATTGAATTGAATGAATACAAAAAGAAAGAAAAACAATAATAATAATTGTTTTTGAATACTTTTAACTTATCTTTTTTCATCCTTGTTGCTCTAAGTTTGCACTTTTAGCAATATGACCCTTAATAATAAACTATATGTTATGAAAATAATTATATTGTGGATGTTCATTTATTACTCTGCTATAGATAATCTTCCTGAAGAAGATTATCCATTTAGTACTCTGTTGAAGTTTATCTACAAGCAGCTGATGCAGGCAGGTTGCAAGCAGCTCATGCAGACAGCTTACAAGCAGCTAAAGAAAAGCCTTGCAGCTGCTTCCTTTCTTCTATAAATAGAGAAGTTTTCATTTCATTATGTACATGAATTTGAAGTTGAATAATATATCAGTTTCTTTCTATACTTGTCTTTACTTTACAGTCTTTATTTT